TCTTCTTACAAGAATAACATATCTGAAGTATAAAAGCCGTAGCCCTTACCGTTCAAAAATTATGGTCAAGGATATAGTTTTTTCATAAGTACGTAAATTTCCAAGGTCAAGGTCAAAAGGTCAAAATTGTTGGTATTCATTGAAAGGTCTTGTCACAAAGTATAAATATGTGAAATATGAAAGTCCTAGTACTTACCATTCAAAAGTTATGGCCAAAGTAAAAGTTTGGAATTTTTTAGTAAAAGTAGTTGAAACTCCAAGGTCAAGGTCAAAAAGTCAAATTTGGTGGTACCCAAAGAAAGGTCTTATCACAAGGAATACACATATGAAATATGAAAATCATAGCTCCACTAAATCAAAAGTTATGGGCAAGGTTAAAGTTTTTGTGACGGACGGACAGACAGACGGACGGACGGACAGACGAATGAGATTTAATGTCCCCTCGCTTTCGCGAAAGCGGGGGACAAAAAGGAATTGAGAAGATGGGACGACGGACGCGCCGGATGACAATATACTCGAACTTTCTATAGAGAAATGTTATTAGCTCACCTAGTGAGCTTTTCTGATCACCCGTCGTCTGTACGTCTGTCTCTCCATCCGTCTGTTGACTTTTCACATTTTCAACGTCTTCTCAAGAACTATTCGGATATCTTTAATCAAAATTGGTTCAAAGCATCTTTGGGCAATCGGTATTACAGGCAGGAAATCTGTTAGAGAATAGCAAGACCAAAATTACTCAGGTGAGAGATGTGGCCCATGGACCTCTTAATTTTTAGCTCGCACAAGAACCAGTACAATTTTAAATAAAATTGGTAAAAAGCATCCTTGGCAAGAAAGGCGTTTATAGTGTTAATTATAAGGGGAGGGTCCTTTTCAAGCATCGGCCAAAGTGTACGATCCTCGCCCATTCTGGCCATGATTAAATGAGAAGAGAATATTTTGCAGCTCATTAAAATATTGACAAATGCGAGTAAAACATATTTGGATAATGACCTCTCAATACTCATTCCATACGAAGCATTCTTTGAATACTGTTTATGTAAGTCATTTATTTCAAATGCGATGGAAACAAATTCTGTCGTTGGCTGAACACGACGTCACAACATAGAGACGTAAATATTTTATGTGACCAGGCAGCCGCGGATAGGAGAGAGCTATACGTATATGCGGACTCCGTACCGTGGTGGCCTTCCAATGGGTAATAATCAAACAAAAATAGGGTGGGTTCATCAAAAAGAATCGCAGGAACCACTGGGCATCTGAATCCTATGTGGAAACTTCCTGGGGTAGTGTATACTTTGAAATAGTTAGTTCAAAAGTCAAAGCATGGCCCTTGGGGTTCGTGTGGGACCACATTATGGAAACAAAGTTTACATAGAAACATATCAGAAATCTCGGGAAACACGGAATCAGAAATGCTGAAACATGTGAAAACTTTCTGAGGTAGTATAGATTCTAAAATTTTCAAATTATTGCCCCGGGGTACGGTGACATCACAATTGGGGACTAATTTTCCGTCGTCAACTTTCCTTATTCGTGTAAAGAAATATTCTGCTCGTGTATAGGGATATCTCCTGTACATAGTATTTAATTGATACTGACAAGATTACATGTAGGAATTGAGTACGATAAATTTTTAGAACGAGGAAGGTTACTGACAGACAAGTTGGTGTTACAGGGATTTTAATAACCTCATTTAATGTAAGTTTTGTAAATTGTTGGACTGTTGAATTGTTAATTTCATGCCGAATATAAGCCCTTTGATTTTAGACTAAATAAGGAATACGGAATGCTCCACCAACTTTTACGTTTTGTAGGGCTCACGACGGGTGTGAGCGGTCAACAGGGGAATTTGACTTTTCTGAGGCACCCGATCTCATCTGTGGAAATAAAGGGGGAGGGAGAAGAATGTTCAATTCCCAGATTCAGATTGTAGCTCTCCACTGGTGGCGTCTCCATATGAGACAAAAGTTCTTGAGAGGTACGTTAAACGATATACAATCTTCTATATCTAGTTATTTCTAGATAAGATTAAATGTGGTTCTTAAAATTAAAAATTGAGTATTACATTATTATCACTGCCTCCGATCTCTGAGTCTTTTAGTCATATTTTATCTTTGTAGTATGAGAAAATGGAAAATGCTAAACGAACAGAAAAACACAAGGAACTGAATATGATGCAAGCTTTGGGTTAATATGTTGAAAAAATATCGACTCTCTAGTTCAAAGTCAACATTAGGAAAAGTTTATAATCGATACAATTATCTTGGTAGCAAATACAATCATTAAGTCGAAACTACTTATTTTTTTTATAAAACTGTTAGGCCTTTATTTTCACAGAATTGTATTCGAACTGTTCCGTTTGCTTCATCATATGTCAATGTGCACATGGCGGGTGTGATCAGTCTTCAGGAGCTACTACCTCTTCCATGGCATCTGATCCAACCTGTGATGTGTTTTTGCGGTCCGTCTTTCTACTGTTCCCAAATGGTATTTTTCAATGGACTTTGAGCTTGGTCACTGTTCGTTGTCTTCATATTTTATTATGGTATTCATATTTCCATTCAGAATGAGTTGTAGTCTTAGGTCTACCTGTTGAAGTACTCATCAGAATGAGTTGAAGTCTTAGGTCTATCTGTCCAGTTGAAGTACTCATCAGAATGAGTGAAGTCTTGAAACTCCGAAAGAAGCACTCGTCAGAATATTTTGATCGTCTCGTAAGCTTTCCTGTATGGTCCATTGTTCTTCTTAAAAATGGATCAACAGATCTTAGCATATGGGGTGGTCAATTTGCCAACGATATGACTTTTATCAATATGCATAAGAATAGTCCGTTAACATATAAGTGCTGAATAGGTGGATTGTAAGAGCATATTCCACAAATTGTTTGTGAAATTGATTTGAATATTCTTATGTTTAATTAGTATATATCTATATATTTTAATGATAAAGGTTTGCTGTTTAACGACCCTCTGGAAAATTTTTCAGTCCTATGGAGAGGCCACCACTTACCGGTGGCGAGATGCAAATTTTGTCCTATATTCGGTTTTTGTGGTCATTTAGCTGTGAGGGATAATTTTCGTGCCAGCATCTACTGCTACACGAGACCTAGATTAACTAGTACGGTCTCATACAAAGGACCGGTCCCCACGTCTCACAGTGGGATTCGAACCCGCGACGTAAAGATTAGCTCCGGCTTGATCCGCGACTCTAGAGCAGAGCAAGTGACATGAAAAATGTAGTTTACATGCAGTTATTTACCCTTCGTATCACTTCTCAGCTTATAAGGCTAAAAGAGGAAAACAAATTTCTGAAAGTTTGCATTTATGATTTCGTTGATATATAAATTAAACGTATTTAGAATGGAGAAGGTTTTAAGTACTTAAGTATTTTGTGGATATTAAAGGATATATAAATGCAGGAACTTAATTAAGGAATAACTGTCTTATTTTTCGATTTCATGGTGTGATCAATCGATTGGTTTGTGTGATAATTTGCATAAAACGCCGAAGGCGTTTATGCATAAAATTATCGCGCAAACCAATCGATTGATTATCGTCATGAAAACGAAAAATAAGACAGTTATTCCTTATATTTACATAGTATTCCACCAATCCAGGTGCTAGAAGCCCCGCTTCTTGTCCCGCCCTGCACGTGATTTTTTTTAACCGCGCCTATTGATGAACCAGTACATTGATGGAGAAATAAAGTACATTAACTATTTGTAATTTTATCTCGAACAAAGACATTGGAAATGTAAATATTAAGATGAAAACACATCTGTATGTATTAGATAGCAAATGTATTTGTTATATTGCAAACGCTTACTGTTTAAATTTTCAAAATGCTTTAATTGCATGATATTTGAAACAAACATGAACGCACATTGTTTTGCAACGATAAACGGCTTTGTTTTAGTGAGGAGGTATTAACTTGGTACACTGATATTTATGACAGAGTATCAGTTGATGTAATACTCCAAATCTGTTGACTTTTCATGGCTAATATTTTTGTTTTATTGCTGAGATTGTGTACCCCCTTCTTGTGCGATCTCGGTTGTTTATTTCTATAATATAAACTCATTTAATCGAGAGTTCTTACAGATGTTCATAAATCATTCAGCTTTATTCCGCCGTAGCCTTTGAAATATTCCAAACGTTAACTGCGTAGCGGCTGAGGATCGTATAAACATTATCAGCTATTTTCCTGTCATTAGGCATACCTGTAAACTAGTAGCCCCGCCAGCGGACGATGGCGATACCAGACAGTAGCCATCCGAAATGGTTCCGTCAACAAGACCACCAATCAAATCGGGAGATGATTAATTAGTTGTTGAACAGTGTTTTAATTTAGCACGGGATAGCACTTATACCATCTTTTATTACCCGTGTACAAGATCATCAATCGAACGATAATGGCGTTCTAATGGGATTTCGCGATAGAGATGTGTGTTTCCTGTATCGTTTACATCAATGGAATATTGCAACCGAGAAACTTATTTTTAATCTCCAAAGAAATATGAATTTAAAAAATAAAAAAAACTGGAACTTACGAATAAAATTAAACAATAAGGACAAAATATACGTGTATGCTTTGGTGAATGAAAAGTAAATCGAGAAAATCAAATTTTAGGACTATTTGAATAAACGTTGAGCCGAACTGGAGACTGTATTTTAATCTAATATTTTTTTAGAAAAATATTAAGAGGATGTCAAAGAAGATGGGGGGGTGGGGGGGTGGTTGTGGACAAGGCGGGAAGAATGTCTATAGAGTCAGATATTAAATTTGAAAAAGCTATATTTGTGGGGTATATTTTCATTCGGTATCATGGCAGATACAATTCATTTTACAAATTTACCTTTTTTATTGTTTTATTTAATTTCATTTTTGGTGAATTTTTATTTTCAATCAATTGAATGTAGTAAAAATTACTACGTTTCTGTGAAGCTTCATAACAGTTTAGGTATTCCGGATTAATCGGAGTTTACCCACCACACTTTGCATTTTAAACATCAAAATCAATAAGGGCGCTAGACATTTTTTTTTACTGATCGTGTTTCCAGATTGGTTTGACAGGATTTATACGCCTATATATGTTGTGTATTTCTACTTGCTACACATTTCTTTCTGTTTTAATCATGAAGAACAATGTGTACATTAATTCCTTTATGGGCTTTGCAAACAGTTTATAGAGGAATGTGAAAACGAAAGTAGAAGTGCTACATTGTAAAACATTGTGTATCCTATATAAATTAATCAAAATCATGGGGCTGTTGAGATTTTTGACGTTATTTGCTTTTCTTCATCATGTATCCAGTGAAGACAGCATTACCTTGCCTTCTCAAATAACAGAAATGGCAATTGTTGCCAAGACTTTTGCACGTTTTAGCGAAGTGACCGTGACAACAGTGGTTAAAAACACTAACAGTGAGAATCAGGAGGTAATGTTTGCCGTACAGGTTCCAATGTCAGGTTTTATTTCTGGATTTCAAATGACAACAAACAACAAAACCTTGCGAGGTCTTGTTCAAGAGAAGTCTGCAGCAGACAAATCCTATGATCAGGCCAAAGCCTCCGGCACTTCTGCTGGTAAAATCAGTCAGACTCCCTCTATCCCAGGCCGAGAAATGGAGAATTTTGCTGTTTATATAAACGTGGCGGCAAAGTCCACCGCCAAATTCAAACTTACTTACCAAGAAGTAATAAAGAGGAAACTCGGACAATTTCAGCAAAAGATCCACGTGGAACCAATGCAAATTGTTCCCAATATGTCGCTTTCTTATACGGTTGAGGAACCAGAGGGTATTCAGACATTAACATACATCCTTCCAAATCAAAGACAGCAAAGGGAGAGCTCCTCCTCTGCAGTCGATATCCGAGCCACGCCAAAGAAGAGGGAGTTAGAGTTCCGACCTACAATGGAGCAACAGCGAACATTTAACAAGGGGGAGGGGATCCGGGGGGACTTTGTTATATCATATGACGTCAATCACCAAGATGACGGGGGTGTCGTTTTGGTTCATAACGGTTATTTTGTTCATTATTTCTCACCAAGTGGGCTTGAAACGTTGCCCAAGAATATAATCTTTGTCATTGATATAAGCAGCTCAATGCATGGATTCAAAATAGCAAAAGTTCGGAAAGTGATGCAAGTAATTTTAGGAAAACTTCGAGAGAAAGACTACTTTAACATTTTGCTGTTCGACAACAGAATAACGTTATGGCAAAGTAGACCACAGAAAGCAACAGTCTCGAATATTAGAGCTGCGCGAGGGTACGCCGAGGAGACATTAGTTGTCGGAGGCAGTACGAATATAAACTCAGCTCTACTGGACGCTGTTGATCTTTTGTTGAATATACAAGATACTCAGGACACTAGAGGGAAAATAATAGTGTTCTTAACAGACGGCCACCCAACTGCAGGAGAAACTAAAACCCAAAATATCCGACTGAACGTAAAGAGAAAGAACGAGGGTTTGGCGTCCATTTTTGCCTTAGGATTCGGTCACAATGTTGACATGTCTTTTCTAGAAGGGTTAGCTTATGAAAATGGGGGATTTGCTCGAAAGATCTATGAAGAAGTTGACGCAGCTGAGCAGCTGGAAACCTTTTACGAGGAGATCTCTACTCCCCTACTAGTAGATGTCCGAATGGAATACACTCCCACAGTTGTCCAGGAGGGTGACGTCACAGAAAGAAAGTTCCCGCAATATTTTAATGGCTCAGAGCTGGTTGTGGCGGGAAAACTACGAGAGAACTCAGCGGCCGAATGGCAGGCGAAGGTGATAGGAGAAGGCGAAAGCGGACAAAGATCTGGGAGTCTAGAATTCATTACCACGCCCAAGAATCTTTTGGACGTGCCGGGGGTCACCGCTGACTTTGCCGAGAGATACTGGGCATTTTCTAGAATCAAAGAACTTTTAAAAATGAAACTAGTGGCTGAAAACGAAATGCAGAAAAAGCAGTACCACGACCTGGCCTTAAACATGTCCTTGGCGTACCAGTTTGTGACGCCGCTTACATCAATGGTGGTGACCGAGTCAGTACATGCACGTGAGGAAAACATGGCAAGACAGCCGCTAACGATGGATTTTGCTTTTAGTTCCAAACGGAAGGTCGCTGGAGGAAACGCAGTGATTTATGCACAAAATGCTTACTTGTCCGGGCAGACAAATTACCGTGTTAATGCCTTGGTACTGTCTTTAATGTTTGTCGTAATTACAAGGCTGTAAGCTCTATTATTCTTTAACTCTGATTAATTGTTATTGTGGTATTTCTATATTGAAACTTTGTATACATGTACTTTAAAAGAGAGAAATCCAAAAGTTGAAAGTTAATTACAGTTTTCATTGTTATAAGGATGTCTTTGTATTGTCCTTTTCGTCTGTTTTAGTGTAATAATTTTCTGATGAACATCCCGTAAATAACGGAACAAATTTGAATGCTATATCATTTTAACATGTATTATTTTTTAACATGTATTTTAAAATCATTTTATGTAATTTTATGGGGACTTCTAGTGAAAAGGAAGTATGAACAATTATACATCTTGATAGGGAAACCCAATCACCAACCACATACAATACATATTATTGTAGACTAAACTTTTAAACTTTTGTATATATGTTACTTTTACCTATTAAGTTTAAAGAACTATATGCGGTATTAACCAACATTTGCCCCCCAAAATCAAACTTTGATGGAGTAATATTTAATTAAGTCCTGAAACAGGGGAGTATATGCTGACTTCAAAGCACTGAATAATTTCATAAGTAATGACGTCATATGTACGTAATGACGTCACAAATATGACGTAAATTTCAGTTTTTGTCTCGCCTGCGACGAATGTCGCGAAGCGAGACATAGCGACCATAGATTCCGTCGTCGTCGTCGTCGTCGTCGGCGTCCAACTTTTGGTTAACCCAAATGTCAAAGTTTTATAAACTGCAATAACTTTCTCAAATTTTATTCAGTCTTCTTGAAATTTGGACACAATATTCAGTATGGATAAAAATTTATATCCCAAGTATGATTTTGAAAAAAAAAATTCAAATTTTTCCGTATTTTTTCCTTAAGTTGGACTTAGTTTTTTCATGATAATTTATGGTGAAGACCTATATTCCAGCAACTATAAGTTATAGGGATATGATAATTAGTCAGTGGATACATCATGGGTAACCACAAACGTCAGTACCAGAATTAGGTCATCTTGACCTACATTTTTCTGCATGAGTGACTTTGGTTAAATTTTTGGTGGAGGTCCATATCTCAGCATCTATAACTTATAATGGCATGATGATTTGTCATTGTACAGGTTATAAGTAACCAACAACATCAGTACCAGAATTAGGTCATTTTGACCTACATTTTTCTGCATGAATGACTTTGGTTAAATTGATAATGGAGGTTCATATTTCAGCAACTATAACTTATAGTGGCATGATAGTTAGTCAGTGGATACATCATGGGTAACCACAAACGCCTGTACCAGAATTAGGTCATCTTGACCTACATTTTTCCGCATGAGTGACTTTGCATAAATTTATGGTGGAGGTCCATATCTCAGCAACTATAACTTATAGTGGCATGATAATTTGTCAGTGGATACATCATGGGTAACCACAAACGCCTGTACCAGAATTAGGTCATCTTGACCTACATTTTTCCGCATGAGTGACTTTGCATAAATTTATGGTGGAGGTCCATATCTCAGCAACTATAACTTATAGTGGCATGATAATTTGTCAGTGGATACATCATGGGTAACCACAAACGCCTGTACCAGAATTAGGTCATCTTGACCTACATTTTTCCGCATGAGTGACTTTGCATAAATTTATGGTGGAGGTCCATATCTCAGCAACTATAACTTATAGTGGCATGATAATTTATCAGACACATCATGGGTAACCAACAATATCAGTACCATAATTAGGTAATCTTCACCTACATTTTCTGCATGAATGACTTGATACATATACAGTGGATTTGATTTCAAAATGCAGGAATTCTATTAAATGTTTAATCTTGATTGTGTGCATGTAATGAAGGCATTTTCAACAAGGGTTCTGTGAGAACATTTGTTATCCCTTTAGGGCTCTTCCAGAAAAAAATGTTATAAGGATGTCTCCATTAAATTTTATAAACCTAAGTGGGGGTGTTTCACCAGTATCACTATTGTTAGTCATTACAGAAAACAAATAAAATTCTGTTGGTGGTTCCCCAAAATAAAAATGGAGTTCCGTATTTTTTCCTGCAAAAGCCCTTAATATTAATAATAATTAATTCTAACTTCTCCTTATAGCATTTATTTTTTGCAGGTATTATTAAATGCACCAAAACATTTTGCATGATCACAGTTATTAACTCATCGATTACAGTACTTTATGAAATGTTCAACATGTTTTTCATCAGATCATCACTGCCTTTATCATAATTGTGAATATGCAGAATTAAAAATATATACATATATATATCTAAATTTATATTGAAGGATTGTAAAATGGAAATTTCTTTATATTCATATTTCTTTATTCTCATTTATATTCATATTTCTTTATTCTCATTTATATTAAATACTAAATTTATGTTACCTTTGCATCAACATACAACTCATTGCTTATACTATTATTCTGTTTACCAGTTGGCATATGCAGTGCATTACACATGACTCCAGATATTAATCAAGTAAATATAACTTCAACATTTTAAAACTTTCTTGACATGTTACAATGTATGTAATTCATTAAAATCATTTCAGCATCTTTTCATTGACTAAGAGGAAAATGTTGTGTTCATCAGTATGCAAAAGTTATATATTAAATCCATATAAAATATACCTATAGTCAGTCCAGATAGAAACGTTTTACAGTTCTTATTAAGTCCATGACAATATCTCTTTAAAAACCAGCAAAATGACTCGATCCACTTTTTGAGTTATTCCTTCTGAAATGTCAATAAATGCTTCAGTTTATCAGACAATCATTTCTTACTAACCACAGCGACAGCAGGCGAGACACAGGGTTGCGGGCAACCCTTACGTACTTTTTATGAATTTTGCAGAAAAATGTACATATTTCGTCGATATTTTAAATAAAAGTCACCGAGCGCATGTGTGTTCAGGATTAATATTTTGATATAATGTGTAGAATGATAATATCAATGAAATATGTCAATATTGTTCCTGAACACACATGCGCTCTATAAATTCTAAAGCTTAAATTGTTGAAATTTTGTCCATTTTGTCCTCTCTCTGAAAAAGGATATAAAATCGGAATAGTTTGTGACGTCATAAAAACAGAAATTGTGAATACACTGCTCTGGAACTATAATATTTTCTGTTAACTTATATTTCTCGTACAATTTATTGAATTCAGCACATTTCAGGAAGTTTTCAAAATTTGACTTTTGTGGGGGCAAACATATGCAATATACCGCATATAGTTCTTTCCCAGTTATAATTTTATCCTTGAGTACCGGGTACTTTATATTTCATGTACATTACAGTACAACAAATAGGATGTGGTTGCTATACCTGGTATTATAATTATTGTTTCCTTGTATTTGTATGTAATTTACCAATAATGTTACTGATTTCGCTTTGATGGTTAAATATTTTGTACATCCTAATTTATTTATCATATTGAACGTTATTGGGGTAGAGCATGACTATCTAGAACCCATGAGGAGCATGCATTTTTTTAATTTATTTTTTTGTTTTTAATTGAAATATTACAGAAGGGGGTAATGTAATCCACTTCTCAAATGTCTATTTACTAATACAAAAAGCATGACATGTGACAATTTTTTTTATTAGGTGAATATTTCTAGCCTAAAGTCACGCAAGTCGTTTGACCTCCCACTCAAACCATTTGGTGTGAGACCATCAATGCGACAAACAATTAGTTTACCTAGACTAGAATATTTCACGAAGTGAAATTTGGCTTGAAACTTGATTGAATTTTCACTTTGTATGCAGATTAATGTTAAATGTTGTTATTTTGATATACAGAAAACAGGTTGATATGGAATTAAGTGGCAAAATTGTTTGTATTTTTATAGCGTTTTGTTACCAATAAAGCTTCTAACAAGATGATTTACATTTCTGAAGGTCTGAACAAATGTCAACAAATATTTCAATCTCGGAGAGTCATCAGCGAATTTTTATCGTCGTCCATATCATCGTAGGCATCATTACGGGCTCTATCTATGTGAAAAGACTTTTATCCCTCTACTTTAATGTGGTAGGGAGGAAATTTTCATGCTCTCTTGTCAACCTCGAGTAAAACTGACAGAAGCATCGCATTTAAGTATTTTGAAAATTTAAATGAAATGGCTGTGCTACGTGTTAAGAAACACATTTCTTTGTTGCGCAAGGGGAATATACTGGCGAGTTTGATTGATATAGAGGGGGATAAAACGGCGAGTTGTCGTTTTAATGGGGTACTCGGTGGCTAATTAAATTGTATGTGGATCTTTGCAGGTGCGTTATCTTGCCCCAGAAGTGAGAGTTTTTACGGAGACGTAAACATCTTTGACACGAAGACTCACTTTACATCACGATCCCGATAGTATTACGGCCATAAAATACACCATTTTGTGCAATTTTCGAACGATAGACTACAAGGCAAAAGTTTTTAATTTCGTCAAATTAAAAAATATATCACTATTTCAACCCCCGCAAAAGTTGTCCCGTCTTCATAAAGGTATTGTCCATGATGTTGTTGGCTGACCATAGTTAGTCAGATTTTATAAACACAGCCATAGGATTTTTCTTTCATTTAGTTTGAAATACCTTCTCAGATTGTAACATTTATGTCCGTTTTTCTTCGGGAAATACAATAACAAAGTAATGCTTCACAAAAAGTAATGATAATAGTAATACCTACATGTATAAGATTAAAGGCAGAAGATAAGTGTACATGCACATCAAAGTTAAAGTAGAATAGAAGATTGGAATTGATTTTGCTCTCGGTGCAAGTAAACAAAAATATATCATAATTCAACATTTTTAATAATTCAGAACATAAAATGATACTGACAAAAGAATTCAATGTTTGCATAAAAAAAATCAACGCCCCATGCATGCGAGGCTCGAGCCAAAAACTTTTCATTGCAATCTACCTTAATTACTGAGCTATCACCGCTACACTCAATTGTCTCATTATAAAAGGACAAAAAACACCATATTTACACAGCTGATTTTTTTTGGGGAAAAGTTCGATTTTTATGGTCTCTGGGTCTTCTCTCCATTTTTTGCATCTTTGAATTGAAATGCACACAAATAACGTTTCAAAATCATGGAGAGAAAACCCAGAGATAGAAAATTTTTAGAAAAACTTGTTTAAAAGTGTACAATTTTGTACCAAATGTCTGATCTAGCCAATTTTGAAGTTATTTTTAAGCAAATTAAAACTCACTATCGGGAAATTATTTTCCTTTCCCATTTCAAAGAAACCCGATAAATTAAAACAACATGAAAATTTCATGTGACATTTCGATAAAATTTCTTTTCAAGTACGCCCAGTTTCCTGCCGAATGCTCTTCAAAAGCGCCCTCGTTCTTTAAATAGACAAATGAATGATCATCGGTTTTTTGATGTGATCGCTGCTTAAGTCGAAATATTTTTAGATCAGGCAGCTGATGACCTCAGGGTGAAAGGCTAGGGTCAAGGTCAATCATTCAAGGTCATTTATGGGAAAGAAAACAGAACAAAGATCTTCAGGTATTATGAAACATTCATAATTATTCTTCTTCGAATTCCTGATATACTTTATTTTATCAAATAAGATATACAAAATGTATACATGTAAAGGGTAGTTTTACTTAAAACTTGTTGATTATCCTATCTAAACAAAAACTAGAATAATTATGTTTTTTAACATATGTTTGGCATTGTTTATTTTAGGGTACGTCTGAAAGGCTTTAAATACACTTTATTTGAAAGGGTCATTTGACGAGTCACATATATGTACAGGGTAAGGATATTTACTTTTTTTTTGCAGAATAAAGCTAACAAAATTGCCCAAATTAACTATTCATTTTGGATTACAGATGATTGTGCTGTAATTGTGATTTTTTTGTGTCACGTTGTAAATTAATTGTTGTGTGGTCTAAGTTCCAGAAAAATTAGACCGGAAGTCAGAGAACGCATCTGGCTGATGGTGGCTCCACCTGTTGCCGAGATTTTGTAATCTCGGGCAAGGTCTCGGAATGGCATGTGTTGGTATAGATAGTGTTAAGAAGGTTATAATTTTCTACTTGTGCTGCATACCTATTACAATACGGTATCAACCTTTTGCTGGTTCGATATCTTAACATGATTACCCAATCACGGCTGGATAAAATCTTCCCGTGAGAGCGTCACTTTCTTATGAATACATGTAGAAGTAATTATATTGATCTACAACCATTTTTTTCTCTGAAAATTACCGTAATATATTACATCACGAGTACATTTAATTTGTGCTTACATTAAATATGCAATTCCTCTACAATATTAATATTATAATTATTTATAGTTTAATTCCTTTCTTGCAAAAATTTAGGGGGCGGGGGTATTTTATGAAGATTTTCGTTTTTAGGGTATATATTTTTATAATGAATAAAGATTTTACTCCACTGTTAATGCATGCTCAGTATAAATGTCATTACGATTAGTATTACTTATTTTGGTATTCTTGTGTCTATATATTTGAAGAAGAAAAAACATGATTGGGGTTTCAACAGCATGTGAGTACATTTAAAGTATTCTTGAATATATAACAGCAATTTTCAAAGTTTATAATTAAGAGCGATTAGAAACAATTTTAGATATTCCACTAAAAAAGAGGCAAACTTTCGGTTCTTAGGCTCATTGAAAAGTGTTCGATATGGAATCAATCTGTCGATCGCTTCTCCAAAACCATCAGCCCGCTCGCTATCTTGATTGCAGATGTGGGTATAAAAACCGGGGCCATTCAGGGAGTAGACATTTAACAGAACACTAATTTTGTTTTTATAGTTGCTAAAACTAAATCTTTATCAAAGCATTTAAGATAACATTTCACAGATATTTGAGCAATATGTAAACAAGCTCCTTAATGACTGTTTTAATTGCAGAATCTGTTACAACCCAACACGTGGGGCGAGCAGGATGACCGCTCCGTCTAAATAATAAACAGACCGGATCCGATAGGAAAGATTCCGGAGACAGATAAAAATTTACTGATAAATATTTAAACGATTATTTTGATATCCGACGCACAATCAAATACCAATTACATTTTTATGACTAAGATTCATGTCAAAGTGGTTTTAGTTCGAGTTTACGCTGCAGAAATTTTCTGTTGTATTTCGAATGATTCCATAAATAAACGCCTGTCACAAACAGTTTTCTGTTGTTTTCTTTAATGGTCATTTCTACTTGAAAAATAAAAATAAGAAATTACCTTCATAAACGGGTGAAGGAAAAAAATCTCTATTTCGCTAGCCAGCTGACATAAAAAAATTTGATCCCAACATTTATTCTTGATATAATTAGAAGAGTTCTTTATATCTAGGTCTTTTGAAGGAACAAAATGCGAGGAAGGAATAAGACAAAAGTTAGAATATTTAGTTAAACCGTATTTTATTTAAAATTGACAAGCAGAATATACGAGCAAGTAGTACAAAAATAGGAAGGGATTAAAGGTTCTTAACACAAACAAAAATTTGAAACATGGACTGATATACATGCATATTTTTTTACTGGTTTTGATTTGAAATGACATAAAAAGTTATATAATCCATGAAATATAAAGAAATCGTACATTCTCCTTGGTGCTTAGATATGAGACTTTGTTTTATTTCTATGTAATTCCAAACAAAAGTTTGCACAATTTTTTAACCTTATGACAAAATCACGAAATTCTCCAACTATACTTGGTAAACATTATTCAGATTACCAGTTTAAATATAAATCTATAAGAAATTTTTATGATTTCTGAAAAAATGTTTTTGTTTTTAGGCCGTTTTTTATCCTTAAAAAACAAGTTTTAAAAACTTAAAAAAAATCCGTTTCATTATTATTAACGATTTAATTATGAACATTTCAATATCATAATGAAAATTCATTTTTGTCTTCCTATCTGCTCTTGTGTATATAGCAAACATAGTACATGGTTTGGGGGAGCAAGGGTGCCTCTTCTGGAATTTATGGCCCTGGTTGAGGAGTTCTGGTGACGTAAGATTGGGCCTCTAGCATGAGCATGCCTATCCCCATACCTGATCTTCCTGTATCACTTGTATGGTGGCAATATATCTTCATCTATAATTTTATTATATAATTTTTGAAAAGTCATTCTTTTCATGTATACTATACATGGTTGTATCATATTTAAAGACCGTTAAGCCATTGGGCTTCTTGCGTCATTAAAAGAAATTTTTCCGAATGATTTTACTTTACATATTACACACAAAACGTTTGAGGTACTTTTTCTCTTTCATCTGGAGAATTTGTCGAAACAGATATAAATTCTTTATCGATGCGAACATTTTTTACCCTGATTCTATGTAGTGTTTAGAACAGATATTATCATGCAATCCAAATAAATTCATTGTTACATAATCCTCTGGCGAGGTGTGTATTCTCTTTGATGTATTTCCAACAATCTGATTGTCTGAGTTTTCTTACTTTACCTCTGCTATTATATTATCGTTATACATACAAATCAGTTGTTCTCTGTTTGTGATGATGTCTTGGAATTAAGATAAAAATCGTATAGACGACTAGAAGATTATTCAGAAGGGGGAGGATTATAAATTTTTTATTCAATGAATTCCATCTTCTTTTTCTCAGTAAATAGAAAAGGAAAAAGAATTTCATCTTCTTTTTCTTAGTGTGTAGGAAAAAGAATTCCATCTCCTTTTTCTTAGTATATAGAAAAGGGAAAAAAATGCTTGGTACGGTATGATTATCGAAAAAGGAAAAAAAAAGAGTTCACTGCATATAAATATATGAGTGCATTTCAAATGTCAAAAGAGCATTGAAGCTTCCGAATAAAAATGTTGAATGTATATTTAAATTTTTAAACTATATCACAAAAATATCACTTTTTCACTCTCTAAAAGATATATTTCGATTTTGTGATATTTTTAAGTACTTTATCTATATATACGAATAATCATTCATCCCCGCTGATGACAAACTGTTTCCAGTGCGCATTCTTTAACTTCTGAGACGACCCCGAAAATCCCGGATCCATATGAAGAGGTTGTTGACGTACAAAGACAAGGGCCCGTCTCCGTAATGTATTCATTTCACTTGTGATTGCGGCAATATAAATAATCCGTCAGTAATGGCTCTTAATGACAGGAGGCCGATCAGATCGGGTTCGAGAAACGTACATCACAGCCCGTGTTTACTCTAGCCCGTGACATATGGACTCCGAGCTGTTTGATAAATAACAATATAAAGAAAATACTTTTATTGCTTGTTTCAGAGGCTGGGATGGAAGAGAATGTGTTTACATTTGCAAGGTTTCAAAAAAATTACTGCAGTGAAAAACTGTGTGAACGACTTGCTGTTCTTCGTAAAATTTAGTCCAATATTTCACTTCTCCCCTCTTCTTGTCTTTGATTACGAATGTAAGAGTAAACCAACAGTTTGATACTTCGTAACTGTTTATATCTTTTCTTGTCATTGTCACCTTTTAAAAAAAGGTATTCATGTTGATTACGCTCATTCTCTCCTCATCTGGTTCAAATCTCTGTTTTACATTGAGGAGTTAGTGTCCTGTAATCTAAAGATGTGAGCGTCAGAAAAGTATGGTTTTTCGACAATATGTTTGTTCAGATTTCTTTTAATTTGCGCTTATATTTGTACATTGTTATTTAATTTTTAAAGTTTTTTTTTTTTTGGTCGGTCTAGAGTTAAAATTTTGGCGGTACTTATTAAACAACTTTTACCGTTCTTTTCATTTTCTCTCCTTGTTCTGTTTTTCACCATTTTGTGTCCAGTTTTCATGTTCATTCTTTCAATATTGATATTTAGATTTTTTCTTCTCATATTTTCGACTTTTTAAATATTAATCCCTTCCTTTAAAACTTGTGAAGCATCCCTTTTTTATTAGCAAAAAATGAACCATTTTAAAGCATAATTCACAACCGGAAGAATATTAATTTGAACTTACTATAGCTAGTGTTCACAAAAACAAATTCTTTTTAATGAAATAATTTTCATTAAATGCTTTTAATATTATCTATGATGTTTTTCAAACATTTTGTTTTATTTGGTGAAATAAAAAAAGTCGGCATTTTCACATGCTAAACGATCTCTCGATAAAATTCACATAATAATTTAATAATAATTATGATTAATTAATATTTATTAATTACTATTAATTTAACCATCAATATTCCAATTTGATCTGAAATCAAACTTAATTTTTTGCAAGTTTATTTTAAGGTCAAAGTTAAGTTTAGTTAATTTCAATGACGTTTTAAGGAATTTAACAAACAGCTCTTTTTAAAAAAAGAAATCTTATATTATAAGGACTGATAGAACATCAAAATGGCATTTATGGGATTAAGAAGTAGCATATAATACTTTTTCTATTTATTTGTAAATATAATCATTTATTTCAGATTTAAATTTTGACTGGAAAAATAAGTGACGAGGAAGAATTTTTATTTCTAAAAATTTAATTTCTGTAACACGTGTACGAATATTGAAATGTTTTTACATCGATTCAGAATTTTTGTAGAATTTCTTAATTGTATATATATCGTCCTATCCTAAATGCTAGGTGCAGTTATAAAAAAAAAATTGTATCTGTAAAATAAAATGAAAAATTAAAGCTCAATAAAAACTACCATACTTACATGGAAATGCTTAAAAGTTGTATTTACCAAAAAATTTTAGTTCATATTTCTTTTGTGATAAATTTTAAGTTTCATGATACACTTTTAGCCAATAGGTCCGTAATTGCTGTGTATTTTTTGCATGTTCTTTAGCGTTCGTTGTGTGGCGGACTGGAAATGAGGCATGCGATGGGAGGTGAATGTATCGATAAGTCCCGTATCTACAGCAGCGATAATCCGCGTACCCCTTCATGTAGTTCTTTATCGCCGGGACTGCTAAAGTAACGAAAGTGACATCTTTATCTGCGCTCAGAGACATGTTAAAATTTTATCCCACACGTGCGCCATCTTCCCAAAAGTGTTCGCGACTTAAACACAAGTTGAGTTGTTGAATGAATGATATATTGTTTAATATTGCTCAAAAATTGATTTCATGCGCAGTCGCAAAAATTTTAATTTTTTTTCTTTGTTATCTATTTTGGTGAAACAAGACGGTTCATTACTCAATGATTTACTTGCACTTTGATCATCCTCCCATATTTCTGGGGTTTTTACGAAAGTTATTCACAAACCCTGGTGTTCATTCATTTAAACAATGATAAACTCATCAATAAAATCAATTAAAAACATAAAGCAGAGTGAAACATTTTATGCTTTTTGGTTACAGATGCACATATTTCAAATCTGGATGACACTTTTTATAAAACTTTCAATGAATAAGTCGGTTTGGGTGGTTTTTCTTATCTACACCCAAACTCGAATTTCATTGGTCGAAATAAGCAACACTTGTCGAATTAACACACGCTAACAACCAATCAAAACACAGATTTTATCTCGTTCTTTTGACGAGATAAACAGCATCCAAACTTTCCATTTTCACAGAAAACCTTAAATCTAAATATTGAAACAGCATTTCTGCAGCATTTGACCCCATGTTAGTGATATTTTAATATAAATCAACGGACTTCTACTTTTTGTCGGAATTCTATTCTGATGCCGTGAGCACCATTTTACACTCAGTGGAATTCTATGGAATGACAATGTTTTCCACCAGTTGTGGTGCTTTTTTGTCCCCTTACCCAGGAGCAATATGGGCGTTCCCTCATCTTAACAGCTCCTTAGCTGCGGTGTCCAGAAAGAATCCGTCATTTCGAATATCGGACATTTTAGACGTCCAAAAATCTTCTCTACCTTTCCCCGTCTACAAAGTTCCGGACAGTTCGGTCGGAGGGTCGGGATGTCGAACCCAGTCCGCTCTGGGGCCTCTGCAGGCGTTCTGTACCTCTAAAAGCGTCCACAGCTTTGTGTCCGATTCCTTACCCTCCAGAAATGTGGAACAGAGACCTCCAAAACAACTTAAGTTTGGAATTAATACGATCTTGTCAGAGGACTTCGGAAAGAAACCTGAAAAAGGTAAACCAATCATACTCGGGTAACTTTGTATTGAGTTGAATGAACAATTAGCTTCTTTATCTTTTTCATCT